TATTCACAGGACCCAGCGCAGTGCCTAGCACTCAGCAGGCATTCCACAGAGTTTATTTAAATGAATGCATCAGTATGTAGAAGTGGGTCTTGAACTGGCCCTTTAAAGCTGGGAGGGTGAGGGGAGAGGAAAAACAAGCAGAGAAACAGCTTGAGCAAAGGCTGGAGTCAGGGGTAAGCCCAGTGGGTGTCCCCTTGGGCCCAAGAAAGCCATCAACGCCTGGTGGAGACAGTGGGGCAACAAGGTCTGCTATGATGGGCAGTCAGGGGCCTGGGGGCAGGGGAAGGAGGCTAGGCTGGGGTGGATGTTCTCAGCAGTGGTTCCATTGGGCTATGGCCCTACCCTATCCCAGAACCACCAGCCTTATTTTTAACCTTGCTGACGAAAGATAATCCCAATGAAATCAAGAAGAGAGACTGATCCCCACCCCTCCCCCTGCCCCAGTTACTGCTCCTTCCCTTCCCCGCAGCAGGGTCAGAGGCATGCTGGAGACCCTCCCCCAGAGACATCAGCCCAGACACGGTGAGTGGTCAAAGAAGAAATCACTCCTGCAGGGCCTGGACTCAGGGAGGGATCCTGGTGCTTAAAGAGAGGCACTCAAGGCTCCTGGGGAGTTGAGCAGCCTGGGAACTGCCCAAGGTAGAGCTGGATTTTCTGTCTGCTAACACCTGCTTCTTAAACTTCAGTGAGCATTGGAAGCATGTGGAAGTCTTTTAAAGCACAGATTTCTGGGCTCTTCCCCCAGAAGTTCTGATTCAGCAGGTCTGTGGTTGAGCCCAGGAATCTGCATTTCTAGCAAGCCCTTAGGTGATGAGGGGGTTGGGGTGCATGGACTATGAGCGGCACTGGACTAGAAGGTAACCTCTGCGCAACAGCAGCTCCGCCAGCCTTTCACCTTGAGCTGCAAGGTGAAGGGTGGCTTGTGACAGACCCTCTGCACGCTGCCTCAGGAGGGCCTTGAGCTCCATGCCAATCAGTTTGGACTTTATTTTGAGCATGGTATAATGCCTTGTAAAGACTTTAAGCAAGAGGCGAGGCTGCTGGATTTGGGGGGAAGCAAGCTCACAGAGCTGCTGCTTGTAGGATTAGCTGTAGGGAGGAGCCTGGAGGCAGGGGAGTGGCAGACAGGGCTGTGCTTTGCAGCAGGAGAGACAGAGGATGGAGAGATGGGCAGATCCTAGAGCTATGGAGGGAATAGAAGAGACAGGAGTTGGTGACTGAGGGCTGTGGATGTAGACAGGAGATGGGGAGTGGGGAGAACACTAGGATTCCTGGTGTGAAGGCTGGGACCCATTCCTGAAATCAGGGACAAGGGAGTGGAGGGCTGATAAGGGATTCATTGGCCAGACAGATGGACATGGGCAGAGGGGTATGTGTCCTTGGAATACAGAAGCCCTCACTGCCTTGGGCAGTGTGACCTCTCCGCCTCCACCCCTGTTCTGGCTGCTCTGGAGGGTCATAGTTGATCCCTCAGAACCTTTCCAGGGTGCTGTGTGAAGGCCGCCACTCCAGCCTGAGGAATCCTGCTTCCCAAACAAGCGTCAGACAGCTCACATTACCAAAAAAGGACGTTTTCTCAGTTTGAAGGTTTGCCTGCCCTTCCCTCCTCCCCAGACATGGGATTTCAGGTTTCCAGGGTAGTGTTTCTGAAAAGTTTAGGGCTCTGAATCACAGGACTCCATCTCCAGACAAATATGAGCCTGGGGATGTTCAGGCGCCACACTCAGTTTTGATGTCCCACATGTCACGTTCTCCTCCTCCTCCTCCTTCACCTCTACCACCACCCCCAGCCTTCTCGTCATCACTCAGCCCCATCCTGGGCTAAAAACTTCCATGTGCTGCCTCTCATTAGTTTTCACAGCAACTCCAGGAGGGGAGAGCGATTGCCTCCTCTGTACAGATGAAGAAACTCAGGCCCAGAAAGTCAAAGCCACTCACCCAAGGTCCTAGAGTCCCCATGGGGTCGGGACTATGGTGAGGTGAGCAAGATGAGCCGCGCAAGTGCAGGGTCTGACCCAGTCTTTATTTATATTTTGTTCATAGCTTGCTCATCAGGGATTTCTTTTTTGCATTATTTTTGACTTTTGAAAATACTGCAGCAAAATATGGCCTGGCTTACTGAGTTTTTTGGCATCCCCCTAAGTTTTGAGGCTGAGGTGGATGCCTTTCTCGTCTCTCCCCGGCCCCAGCCTTGACAGAGCCAAACTTGGAATCCAGGACTGGTGACTCCAGAGCTATGACCCTAACTATTCCCTATGCTGCCCCCTTGTCTGTAACGAGGCATACGTGCGTGCACGCACGCATTTACGTATTCTTTCCTTCAGCAAACATTATTGTGGCAGTGTGCCATAGAGGAGAGGGCAGGGGCTTGGAAATTAGACAATTCTGGGTTCCACTATCACTGAGCGGAAGCACAGACTCTAGATGGCAGAATGTGTTGGTCTCATTCTGTCACTTGCTGGCTGTGTAAGTTTGATGAGTTCCTTGAAACCTTCTTGTGACCTGGATTTCTGCTCGGTACAGAGGGAAACACCTGCCACCTAGAGTGATTGGGGGATCAGAAGAGGTAGTTTCTGTAAAGCCCTTGGCACACAGTGAATGCTTTGTGCGTGTGAACTTTACTTTGCATCCTTGAAAAGATACTCTCTCTGAGCCTCAGTTTTCCCACCTGTGTAGTGGGGACAGTAAAAACTACCTCCCAGGCAGTTTTGAGGATTGAAAGGCATAGTCTAGGTGAAGGGCCTGGTACGTAGTAGGAACTTAATGACATTTTTCTCCCCTACTGTGGGCCCAGTTCTGTGCTAGACACTGCAATACAGGCCATTCATATCAGCTCCCTGAGAAATTAACTCATCTGCAGATGTGGACACTGATTTGACCTTTCCATTCCCCAAAGGCACCGAGTTCTAATCCTCTCTAGGGCCTTTGCATGTGCTCCTCCCTCTACCTGGCTTGCTGTCCCTACCTTACCTGTTATGGGCCTAATTTATGTGTTTATTTGTCTCACATGTCACGTTGCCAAGAAAACCTTCCCCGGCCCCACCTCCGCCACCAGCTGTGAAGGCCTTCCTGTCCCACATCTCCAGTCTTCCTTCATGGCACTTCTCACAGTTGCAATTAAGTACTTTTGATTTAGTTACATTTTATTAAATAATCTTTGCTGTTTGTTTATTGCTGCTCCTTCACTGGGCAGTGAGGGCAGGGGCCAGGCTTGTATTATCCACAGGACTCTCTGTCCTCAGCTCCTGGGCAAGCGCAGCACGTTTTCCAGAGCAGGGCTCAAGCAGACAGGCTCCGGAGGCATCTTGCCTGGGTTCAAGATCCCCACTCCTGTACTTCACGACTCTGAGATCTAGGACAAATTATTTAACCTGTCTGTGCCTCTGTCTCCTTTCTGTAAAATAGGGAAAATAAAAACAGCACCAGCTTCCTCAGACATTAGGGTGACTGCAGGGGATAATCTCTGTAAATCTAGAATGGTGCCTGGTCCACTTGCAAATGGGGCTGTTACTATTTTACGAGGCGCTTCTACTGAGCGGGCAAACAGCTGTGGCAAACATCCCCAAAATCTCAGGTGCTTAATGCGGTAAATATTTAAGGCTTGCTTAAATGTGCCACATTAAATGTTTAAATTTACTGCCTGAATGCTCCTCATTCCACTGTGGGGCTGTGGGAAGGGGCCTTTGCGCTATGGACCCAAGTTCCTTCTCCTGTTTCTCCACCTGGGATCCATGGGAGGTTCTGTGGTTGGAATCCAGGGATTCCATGAACTCCGATGCTGTCTTACATCAGATTCCCTAGAATCTGAGCCTGCGATGAGGATTCTTGAGCAGATTTATTGAGGGAGCTCTCAGGAGACAGGGGTAGCGAGGGACCCAGGGCAGGATCGGGAAGGAAGCAGCCGAGTGAGGACGTGGTCTTACCCGGAGCCCTGCTCCAGCCTGATCCCGCAGGGACTCTGAGCCCTGGCTTGTACCACAGAGTTGGCTCCTCTTGGTGCAGCAGGAACGGTGGGTGCCATCAGTCACTGGCTGTGGGCTGCCTGGTTGAGGGAGGGGGTTTGACCTCGAACAAGGTGCCCTCCACTGATTGCAGTTCTCTGGGACTGCAGGAGCCATACAGCCAGTGCTCCTGCTAGGCACAGGCACATTTTCCCAGTGAAGGGATCTGGGCAGCCCACCAAAAGTCCCTACACCAGATGGGAAAGCTATAGCTTTATTTTTACTAATGTCTAATGGACATTGAGCATTTTCTTCAACTACAGAAAGAGGCAATAAGCCAAAGTAGTATCAGCAGTATCTGTGACTTAGTCACCAAAAGAAATCACATATATTTTCATGTTACATTACTGTTAGCCTTGCCATATCCTTTATACTAATCAATACTTTAAAATTATTGTAGTTAATAGACTGGCTACATATTTTGTATAATGTATTAATAAAAGACATACATTTATTATATTATAGAGTTTTTCCTTTAAATATTTTGGTAATAGTGTATCAGTATAATTGCAACCCTTTGTAATCCTATGTATTTTATGCATTTGACAACATTATTCTGAGAAGATGTCCGTAGGTGTCACCAGATGCCACAGGGGTATGGGACACAAAAAGAGGTAAGGACCCTGCTGTGGGGCCTTGGCTGCTTCTGCATTTGACCAGCCACAGGGGAAAAGGAGAGAGTGCAGTGATTGCAGGGGAGGTGTTTATGGGCCAGGCCTGGAAATAGCATACATCACGTCTTCCCACAGCGCACTGGCCAGAACTCAGTTGCCTGAGCACAGCTAACTGCAAGGAAAATGTAGTTTATCTGTGTGCCCAGAAAGAAGAGGAAATGGTCGGGGGAATGCACAGCAGCCTGGGCCACAGGGCTCAGTGAGTATTCATTGACAGCCAAGGTGATTGAATGCTCTGTCCAGGGTGTCTTTTGCGGTTGGGGAGGAGGGGCGACGGGCTGGTTCTCAGGAGGGATCCCGAGTCTCCACCATGTTGTCTCCTTAGGACGAGCCACGCCAAAGCCAAAGCCGAGGCAGCGGAACAGGCCGCCCTGGCTGCCAACCAGGAGTCCAGCATTGCCCGTACTTTGGCCAGGGAGCTGGCTCCAGACTTCTACCAGCCAGGTAGGGCCAGCCAGGGTGGGGCCGGGCAGGACAGCGTCGGGGAAGGTCTCCAGGGGTGGACACTCCTCTTTCTCTACTTGCTGGAAAGCTGAGATGCCCAGATGGGTTCAGAATGCCTGTGAGTTCTAGAAACCATGGGGTTGTGGCACAATCATGGGAAGGGATGACTTAAAGGGACTGAGATGGTGGGGGGTACCAGAGGCACCCAGCTGTGGACCGGACCCACTGTAGGCTGTGTCTTCTCTCTGCCGTGAGCAGGGCTGACACTTGGAGCTGACAAAGCTTACAGCAGGGAGAGGACTGGTGGATGAGGGGACAAAGAGGCTTCCTGCTCTTGCTTATCAGTTTCCGACAGCACTGCCCACGTGTCAGGCACTGTGCTGGACTCTGAGTTACAAATGGGTCCAGAATCTAGAGGAGCAGAGAATCATGAAGTCAACGTAGCAAGGGGTGAAGGGTACAGACTGCATGCATTCACGTCGTGACTTCTGCTTACCAGCTCTGAGACCCTGGGCAAGTTTTTTGACCTCCACAAAACTCAATTCTCTGATCTATAAAATGGAAGTAAGAGTAATACTTTTCTGGACATGGATTAAATGCTTGTAAGGTGGTAGCACATGTCCTGGTTCATAGTAAGATCTGAGTGACTGTTGGCTATTCTCTCATTGTTACTAAATTCCTCACAGCATAGAAAGTTCTGTGTGGTTAGAACAGGTGTTGGGGAAGCTCACAGGAGGCACTTAACCCAGTCAGGTGGGGGAGATGTTAGGGAAAGCTGCCCTGCAGAGAGGCCGTTTGAACTGGATCTCAAAGGCTGAGTAATGCTCACCTAGTCAGGGAGTCTCAAACATGGCTCAGTGCTGGGCCACCCCGTTTCTAGTTCAGTACGTCTGGGGTGGAGCCTATGAATGTACATTTCTAACAAGGATCAGGCAGTGCTGCTGCTCTTCTGGGGCCCCCTACTGAGAACTGCACCAGGTAAGGCTGTGTGGGACAGGTGCATCAGCAGGAGTGGGCTTTGGGTGCAAAGGCACAGAAGCTTGGAACAGAGTGGCAGGCTAGGAAGCTAGGCAGTGATGCAGGCGGTGGGAGATGGGCAGCAGAGTAAGGAGTGCTTCCAGCTTTCATACAGACCTTGCTCTTGGAAGGACGTGGGAGCCCTGAGGGTGGGAGGTTGATGTTCTCAGTCCCGAATGGGCTTACGGTGAGTGGTATGATTAGATTTGCATTTTCTGAACATTGTTCTTCGTGCAGCATGGACACCAAAGGGGAACTAGATAAGCAAGACCTCAGAGCCCAGATTTGTGCCTGGCAAGCCAAGTTGCTTTCGGTCACAGCACGCCCCCTGCCGGTCCCAGGAAGAGCGAGTCCTCCCCCCTAACCCCCGCCCCGCTGCCTCTACCTTCTGGGATCACATTACCGTGTCCCAGGCATTGGGTTCAGCATTTCACATGCGTTTTCTTAATTAATCTTTACATAATTACTTATGAAATAAGGATTATTGGGCCCATTTTTCAGATAAGGGCATGGAAAGAGACCAGTGCCACAGTTACGAGCATGATCTCTGAGTCAGCCTGCCTGGGTGCTAGTCCTGGCTCTGCCCTTTGTCAGTTGCGTGACTCTGGCCATGTGATTTCACCTCTCCGAGCCTCCCTTTATTCATCTGTAAAACGGAGGCTTATAATAGTATCAATGCCATAGAGTTAATAAAACAATTAAATGAGTTACTATTTGGAAATTAGCACAGTGCTTGGCACCCAGCTGATGGTGGGCAAGCTGAGTGAGGCCCAGCGCGGTTCAGTGGGTGGCCCACGATCACCCCGTGGTGGGAGTGGGGTCCGAGCCCAGCCTCCTTGTATCGCCCCGGCAGGTCCGGAATATCAGAAGCGCCGGCTGCTCCACGAGATCCTGGAGAACTCGGAGAGCCTGCTGGAGCCCCCCGACCGCGGCCCGGGCGCCGCTGGCCCCCCGGAGCGGTCCCGCGAGAGCCCGCAGCTGCACGAGCGCGAGACCCCACGGCCCGAGGGGGCGACCCCGTCGCCGGCCGGGACGCCCCCGCAGCCCAAGCGGCCCCGCCCGGGGGCGTCCAAGGACCGCCTGCTGAGCCCGGGCACCTGGAACGGCGAGCCGGGCACCGAGGGCGGCCGGCCCCCCACGCCGTCCGAGGGCGCGGGCCGCCGCAGTCCGGCGCGCCCGGCCACCGAGCACATGGCCATCGAGGCGCTGCAGGCGCCGCCCGCGCCGTCGCGGGAGCCCGAGGTGGCGCTGTACCGGGGCTACCACAGCTACGCCGTACGCACCGCGCCGCCCGCGCCGCCGCCCTTCGAGGACGAGCCCGAGCCCGAGGTCTCCGGGTCCGACTCCGCGCCCTCGTCCCCGGCCAGCGCCCCTGGGCAGGCCCCCACGCTCCGAGGCCCCGAGTCCGCGCCGGAGACTCCCGCCAAGCTGGAGCCCAAGCCCATCGTCCCCAAAGCCGAGCCCAAGCCCAAGGCCCGCAAGACTGAGACCCGAGGGCTGACCAAGGCGGGCGCCAAGAAGAAGGCTCGGAAGGAGGCAGCGCTGGCGGCAGAGGCCGAGGTGGAGATAGAGGAGGTGAGGCTGGTGGCAGCAGGAGGTGTCCAAGGTCGGTTCCACAGAGGTGGCTGGGCTTGTGGCAGGGTCCCCTGGGGACGATTTGGGGGCGGAGAGGCATCCGCACCGGGCAGGGTAAGGGAACCCCCAGCAGCGATGTGGGTGGGCTTAGTGAAGTGCAGCCGGATTCCAAAAGAGCTGGGGGCATAAATCACGCCAGTCACTCCACATTGTGGTAGGGGCAGGCCTTTGCACCTGCTGTCTTTGGAGGAGAGGGTGGTACTGGGAGCCATAAGCAACTGGGGAGTGGGTGCACCTGCTGGGCCAAGGGGATCTGGGCTGTAGCAGGGAGGGCTTCCTGGGGAGGGGGAAGGAGGGGCCCACCGAGGCTTGTTATAGGAGTTTGGGAGGTGGGAACTGCAGCGACTTGGTGAAGCTGGGTTCTGAAGGACTACTGAATGGAGTCCCAGAGGAAGATGGTGTTGCCTGGTTCCAGGCCCAGCTCTGCCCACTCTGCTTGAGGACACGTCCTTGGCCCTCTCTGGACTCTGAGTGGTTTGGTTAATAATGTCTCAGAATCTTTCCAGCTCCATGGTCTGCTGTCCAGGTGCTGGATCCAGCAGGGGGCAAATCAGGGGAAGGGGTGCACTCAGGAGGGTCTTGCCAGGAGTTCCTGCTCCTCTGTCCAGCCTTGTTGTGACCTGGGTGGGGGGTGTTTCAGAGGCCATGGGTACTCAGGCCTCTCTCCACTGCTCCCAGGTCCCCAACACCATCCTCATCTGCATGGTGATCCTGCTTAACATCGGCCTGGCCATCCTCTTCGTTCACCTCCTGACCTGATTCTCGCCTACCAGGTGCTGCTGGGGAGAGGATGGGAGCCCTGTAGAGTTCCGAGCCTCAGGGTCTTGGGAGGAAGGGTTTGTCCATCTAGTGGCTACTGGAGGCCCATCCCCCTAGCAGATGCAGGACCTAGAATGTGGACATGATAGATCGTGCCCTCCCCAACACAAACACACACACACACCCCTACCACACCTGCTCCCTGTCGGGTGAGCACTGGGAGCTTCACTTGTTCATTCATTTGACCAACATTTACTGAGCTACTGGTCTGCTGGGATGTAGGAATACAGCAGGGACTCACTCCTGGCCCCAAACATGGGGCGAGCACAGGAGCAAACCCTTAATGTATCAGCTCATTATGTGCAAATCTTACAGTTCAAAATTCAAGCCGAACAGTTCTTGACCCTCTGCCCTAGGTGTAGGCTGGGTTCACCTGGGATGGCCCGACTCCCTTCTCTCACCTTGCTTTTCTCTTGCCCCACTTCAGGCGTTAGTCCCTCAGCCCCCTCTTCCTGAAAGTCCACTGTGGGTCCCTTGTTTCCATCGTGGGCTTCCTCCCCACGATGGAGTGGGAGGGCTTGGTGGGGTCCAGTGAAAAGCAAGAGGGCTGAGCTGAAGAAAAGCGGCCCTCACTGGTCTGAGTACCTACAAGACACAAATCTTTTCCCACTAGGATCAGCCTTTACACAGTGAATCTTGTGCTTGGTGATGCTAACAGCTTCTGCCTCTTGCCCTGCACACCAAAGACACCCCCCCCACCCCCCACTCCTTGATCCTAGCTTACAGTGGGCTGGAGGCTCCTACTCCCAGGAGGCTCCTACTCTGTCCCAGTCCCAGGACAGAAGGAAAAGAAATCCCTGTCCAGTCACCCAGTAAAGAGCCAATGACAGTAGTATCAGCCTGGTAGGTGCTGCCCTAGCTGAGCTCTGCTAAGTCCACGTTTCATAGCGGATCTGGGAATGACTGCTGCCTGGAAGGATAGAAAGGTCGAGTGAGGGGACCGTGGGGGATGAGGAAGGAAGGGAAGAGGGTACCAGGCAAAGGGAACAGGAAGGGCCAGGAGTGGCCTAAGGGACTTGCCTCTGCTCCTGCTGAGCCACAGCCACCAGTAAGGCTGCCCTGGGGGCTTGGAGAGGTGGGATGTTCACCCCGAGAAAATCAATCCTGAGGCTGACACCCTGCCTTTAATGTGGCTCAGCCTCTTCCTCCCTTCCTCTCCCATCTGATCCTCTTGTTGTCTCTTTGCAGAGGCAGGAGTTCCTGCTGAGGACTGAGGACACGAGGACCCATCTTTTTCCAGTGCCAGGCAGGCTGGCCAAGGAGGACTGGACCCTGGACCTGGGGGTTCCAGCACACATCCGTGCCGCCAAGATTTAGTGCCTCCCTGGCGCCCATGCTGGTGGCCGTGGTGCCCTGAGGAACAGATCCCATTGGGAATCCTCCAGGAGCTATCCGCCCAGCACAGGCGAAGCCCCAAAGGACAGCCTGGTCCCTCAAGCTCCCCGGTCTGCTCCTGTTCCACATCCTCACCCACTCTTTCATTGCACAGCAAGGTTTCCCCCTCCCTGGGCTTTTGTGTGCCTGGGGAGAAGTCACCAAACCAGGATGTTAATATTAACTGCCTACCCCCTTCTTTCTACCCTTCCCTCCACTTTATTTTAACTTTCTGGCTGCTGCTGACCCCCCAAGCAAGCAGAGGGAGTGACAGGTCCCTGCAGTGGGCAAGTGAGGAGGACCTGCTCTCTGTGCAGAGGCCCTCCTTTTGCAGTCTTGACCCAGCACACACACTGCCCCTTGCTTAAAGAGGTTTGGATGACAATAGAGGATGTGGGCAGGCTCCGTTTGAATACAGGGCTCCTGTCTCCTCCCACCAGTCCAGTTAGCTTCCCATCTGGACCAAAAGCCGAGGAGGAGACACGAGGAATTGGAGCCTTTGGCTGGGAAGCCACTGGGTAGGTGGCCATGGGGTGGGTGGGAAGAAGGGCTGAGGGGCCATTAGGATGGCCCCTGTTTGTGAGTGTGCCCAGGCCTAAGGCTGCATTGCATTTAGGGCTTCCATTGTGCTCAGGATGCTCAGAGGTCACCCTGCAGGAGCCCTGGGGCTGAAATAAAGCTACCGTGATGCGCTCTGAATTGGTTTTTCTGCTTCCCCAATGAGGACCCACAGCAGGCTCAAGGGAGCATGAACATGGAAGCCCTTGGAAGCCAGGCAGATTTCCCTGGGGAAGACTCTCAGGAAGGTGCTAAAGACAGGCTGCTGATCAGCATGCACTTCCCAGGGAGAGAGGAGCTGGTCTGGGACTCCCACTGGGCTTGCTGACAGAAGATGGTATTTGCACGTAGCTCTTTACAGGTGTTTTGCATCACAGTGGGTCTCTGGGCCCTTGTGCTTGCTGGGATTGGTTGAAGGCTGAGGGCTTGTGGCCCACCACCCATGCGAGGATGGAGAAGAAGGGTTTCCAGGCCCCTCCAAACCCAGAGAAGGACATGGCGGTGGCATCCAAGCAGAGCGCATGGAGCTGCGTGTGGCCCGGCCTCCCCAGGGCAGCTCTGCGAACTGAAGTTTGCTTCTGATAGGGTCAGCTTTCCCCTTCCCTTCAGTGCTTGGGAAACGTCCTCCAGCTTCACACTTGCTGTTTCAAGCCCTGCGGGGGCCTTGTGGTGTGGCTGGAATCTTGGACTGCATTTCTGTGGAGAGGATCCTGCAGATTCTCCCATCCTCCGCTAGCCAGGGCCCGAGCTCCGCACCTGTGTTTGGGCTTTTCTGGACTCTAGGGAATGAGAGGGGCGGGCCGGGATGCTTCTCAGGGCTGACAGGCTCCAGGCCTCAGCCTGAGGTCATTGTCTGGCCCAGTGCTGGGGCCTTTGGCTGCTGGAGCTCCTGGGCCTAGTTTTGGGACTGGTGTTGGGGTTGAGGGTTCAGGATGCTGCAGTCTGTGCAACAATAAACCTGCATCTGCTCACAGGCTCTGGCTGGGCTGCCGTGTCTGCTTGTGGGCCCAGGATGAGGGACCCGCTGAAGGGGGCCATAGACGCGGGGGACATGCTGGTCCAGGCCTTATCTCTCTTACAGTCTCCATAATGCCTCTGGAGGGGCAACTGACAGGCTTCAGTTCTGGTGGGGGGAGATTAAAGGCCACCAAACCTCCAGGGCAGACCCTGAATTTCTAAAGCAGACTTCCAGAAGCTTCCTTGAGCAGCATATGATGGAAGACAGAGCCTGCCCATTGAGATTGGGTCTTCATGGGCTTCAGTCCTGCTCAGCCACTTATTTCTCTTCTCTGAGCCTCAGCTTCCTCATCTGTAAGATGGGAAAGTAATAGTACCTACCTCCTGGGTTATAGTGAGGATTAGGGTAAACATAGAAGCTTGTGTAAAGCCCAGCTACAGAGAGCCGCGGAGAAATGGAGACAGGCCATTACTGCTAGTGCACTACAGTGCTGTCGTCAGCCCTCTGCAAAGCCTTCCTGGGTTTTGGTGGAAGACTTTGGAAGCCCTAAAGGGGTGGCGATGATTCAGGCCCCAGTTAGTCACAGGATGTCTCAGTCGGGGGAGATGTTCTCCCAAAGCCGGCAGCCCCAGAGGGATAGTTGGAGGGGAGGGTCCCTTGCCCACCAACAGGTTCGTTCCAGCAGCTCCTGGAGTGACTTGGTCATCAGGAGAGGCTCTCCACTGCTGCCACTAACCAGCTGTGTGAGGGCTGGTCCCCTGTTCTGTGCCCAGTTTCCTCTTCTGCTGAGGACTCCATGGTCCCTGCCCCACTGCCTTCTTCACAGGCAGAGCAGTTGTGAGAATCAAATGAGATAGACTGTGGGTGGTAAAGAAGTTTCCAAAAAACCTGGAATGATCAAGGGACCTGCAAGAAGCAGGATGGGCTTAGAGGGACTACAAAACCTACTCAGGGAAGCGGGATGGGCAAGCAGGCCAATTGGCTGGTGTGTGTGTGTGTGTGTGTGTGTGTGTGTGTGTGTGTGTGTGTGTGTGTGTGTGNCGGGCGCCGCCTACTGGCCCGGCGCAGCACAGACGCCTCCCGTCGCCGCCGCCGGACCGCTAGGAAGCTGGTTCTTCACCATGCCAAGATGCGATTAAGGTGCCCCGTGTCATGGGGGAACTTGAAACCACCCTTGGACATTGCTAGGGCCTGTGTTCACTGACCACGGCCCTGGGTCTTGGCAGGCCTTTTCCAGGGCAGAGAAAGGAAGGAGGCCAGGAACCTGTGGGATTCAGATTTGGGATTCATGGCAAGAAGGGAATTTTCACAGTATCTGACAGACCCACAAAGGGTCCAGCTGTGCTAGGAAAGATGCATATGGGGCTCCGAGAAGGTAGCAGAGGTCCTCAAAATCACACAGTAATTCCATCAGAATGAGGGCTATAAAAATTGCTACCATTCAGGGCCAGCTTCATGGACCCCACACTTGGTTTGATGCTTTTTTGTCACCATCTTGAAGTTACAATTTTTGAACAAGGGGCCCCATGTTCTCATTGTACACTGAGTCTCATACGTTATGTAGCTGGTCCAGCACCATCTGCTGGACAGGCTTCATGAGTGCCAGGCTCTTACCTCTGCCCATTTTACAGATACAGAAACTGACAAAGATGTTCACTAAGTTAACCAGGGTCAGGCTGACTTCAGAGGTGCCCCTGTAAGAGTGATACTGTGTTACCCCCTGAGAAAGGGCAGGGGCTCTGGACCTGGTGGCAGAAGGTGAGGCCCACCCAGGCTGGGGTCTCCAGTGGGAAAAGAGGAGGGGATCATAGGGGAGCAACTCCCCAGAGAAGAGAAGGTATCAACGGGCAGAAACCTCATTTTTATCCTGGACAGCCAGCTTCTCAGAATTCATCCACTGACCAAATGCATCCCCCTGAGTGCATTACCTGAAAACCATGATTCTAAGCACACAATGTCAAGATGCTAAGTATCTTGATTTCGATTATTTTAGAAATTAATGCCAATTAAATTCCTCTGCAAAGGGGCTCCAGAAGCTTCTAGAGGGCCATAGGCAAAGCCCTCCATTACCATGAGAGCTGACCTTGCAGCCTCAAGGCCCAAGTTGACTGGCCCATCTGCTTAATCCCCACATGCAGCCCCCGTAGACTCCCCCTCCCTCCAGCCAAGGCTGAGTCCCAGCTGTCTGAATCGCCTCACTGAACCCTCACATCCTCTCTAACTGCCACTTACAGCTCTAGCTTAGACCCCCTGGTCCTTCCCCAGGCCCATGTCCTCTCAAGGCACATTTCCTGCTTCTAAGTCACCCCTTCTCCCGTCCCCTCATTGTCTGGCCCCCTGTCTGTCTCCCATCCTTGTTACACAGAATCATGGAGAGGATCTTGGCATAGAGTGATTAAAGACCCCAATTTAGAGCCAGTCTGCTCAGGACCGCACCCCAGGTTTGCCCTGCCTGATTGTGTGTCCATGGGCAAGTCGGCTCCTCACTGGGAAATGAGGATAACAAATACCAACCTCATAGAGTTGCCTTGTGGTCTACATTAAATGATCCAACTTGTGTCAATTTCCTAGTATACTGTGCACACTCAGTCAGCCTTGCTTTGTCCTCTTACTGCCCAAGGCATCACAAGCACACAGCCACTGGCCAATCACCCCCCACCTATGGGGCAGAAGCAAATCTGTGGGGCAGAAGGAGCTTTGGTGTGCTGGACAAAGAGCCCAGGACCTTGTAAGGAGGTGTGAGCAGGTGTGCAGGGAGGGGCAGGGCTGTTGCCGAGGGGAGCTGCTCTAGAGGGAGGTGGGGGAAGGGAGCCCCCACTGTCTGGTCCAGGCCTGGTTTGGGGTCCTCCGTCTCCCGGGGGCGGCCCATCCAGCTAGAGGGCAGGGTCTCCCATCAGGCAGGCCTTTCTCGTGGGCTCTTCATTCCCTTCTGGCCTCTGAGAAGGAAGGAAGTTGCCTCTCCAGGCAGAACATTAAGTGGGGCCGAGGGGTATGTGTGTGTGGGGGTTAGGGATCCAGCTGGACAGAATGACACCACCAAGGCCCCCCGGATCCTTCCTGTCTGGGAGGAAAGTGGCTGAAACACTTACCCTCACCCGGGCATTGGACACTGAGAGTCATCCTTCTGGGGGCGTTTTCATTTTAAAGAAAGTGTGGATGGGGCAGTGCACAATCCAAAAGAATATTTTGCCCCACTAAAATTTCAGGTATCCATGGGGCTCAAGCTAGAGTTAGAGTAATCCCTGAACGCTCCCATCCAATAAAACAAAAAATATATAATATCAACAGGGCAACCACCTGTTTCACCTTCTCACAGAGGGAAGGATATTGGTCATGTGGGACCAGGGGTGTATGAGTGCTGGGCTCACACTGGCTTTGTGCTAGCTGCATCACTCTGGGGTCACAGCCAGCACTTGGCAGGGGTTGTTATATAAATTGCATGCCAAGTGATATTCTGCTGTCTCATTGCATTGGTATAGCCACACTCCGTGGGATTGTAATTAGGTCGTGGGAGGGTGGAGGGTAGGAGTGGAGGTGAATCACCTGTGGTACTTACTTGCATATGGCAGAACTAGATTCAAACTCACTGTTAATTCACCCTGCAGTCCAGCATGACCCCTAACCACTCTCTCAGGCCCACTACACTGCCCTGCAGTTCTCAATTATGACCCATAGACGGCGCCACTGCTCTGCTCATGAGTGGTCTCATAGATTTGCTCGAGAGAAGAAAGGCTGTTGTATAAAAAAAATTCACTAATTTTCTGATTAACCAAAAAAAAAAACAAAACAGCCCAGCTACTATAAATTAAGCACTTACTATGTGCCAAGCACTAAGCACTTTACATGCATTATTTCATGTATTTCTCACTAGAGCTCTAAGGTTTGAAACATGACTGCCTTTTACAGATAAGAAGCTAAGATTCAAAACCAGGTCTGTTAATCCGTCTTCAAAGCCCGTATTTTTAACCATATCCTCAGACGAGGGCACAGACCAGACGCCTGGAGGTCGCATGGGGCAGTCGCTCTCCCCCTGACCAGAGTCCGCCTGCACCCTGCTGCGCTGCCCGTCTCTTTCCTTTGTTATGGAGTCTGCCTGACTCTGATGACATTTGAATTTGCAACTCCACTTATGGTAATAAACAGTTTATCGACTCCACTTTTACTAACAGCATTTTGTGGTCTAGAGAAACAGAAGATCTGGGGAAAAACACCTGTGCGGAGGTTTGGGAAGGCAGCCAGGAGGGATGACAAATGGCTGTGGCCCAATGCCGTTCCAGAGACATATGGAGGCAGCCCAGTCCTTTAGTGCTCTCCCCGACATGTCTGTAAATGTTTTTCGAGTCAGTCCAGCATGCGTGGCACCATGCCAGATGTGTGGATTTTCTGGGATGGTTGATGGTGAGATGAGGGCCATGGGGCGTGTTTCGACCCCACAACACCCTCACAACCGCGTGATGTGCACCCATGCAGAATCCTTCCTGATTTCTGTCTCTTTTCCAATTTCTTTTTGCCTGGCCCATGAACCAAAGACTGGACCTGACCATTCATTGTGGGGTTTCCAATCAGTATCAACCACCCAGTCTGTTACGGACTGAAAGTGTGTCTCCCCTAAAATTCCCATATTAAAGCCCTATCCTCAGTACCTAAGACTGTCATGGTATATAGAGAGAGGGCCTTTAAGGAGGTGAGTTAAAATGAGGCTATTAGTGTCAGCCCTTACCCAGTTTGACTGGGGTCCTTATAGAAGAGGAAATTCAGACACACAGGGACACCAGGGTCTCTGATGCACAGAAAGCAGGGACCATGTGGGGACCCAGAGAGTAGCCAGCCATCTGTGAGATGAAGAGAGGGGCCTCAGAGGAAACCGAACCTGCTGACACTGGGATCTTGGAGGTAGCCTCCAGAACTGTGAGAAAACAAATGTCTGTTGTTTAAGCCACTAAGTCTGTGGTGTTTTGTTAGGCAGCTCTAGCAGACGAATACAGCCTCGTACACAGAGGACATACAGCAGGCTAATATACTGTCTTCATCAAATGTGGGCCAAGTCAGGGGCTTGGACAGGGCTGGCTGAGCTGAGCTGAGGATGTGCCTACAGACTAGAGTCATAGATCTTAGAAAGAAGATGAAGGAGCTACCACTACCCCTTCACCCCCACCATCCCCGGGGTGAGACACTTATGTGGAAGACTTGATTGGTGCACTTTGTTCCTCACATTCTTCTCCTATTAGTGATGGGAATCATCATTTCTTTATGGGTATGAGCACAAAGAACCCAAATCCTTGCCTTCTAGGCTCAAAAATGTGGTCCAGGAGTAAGACAGAAGAAGTTGGAGAGGAGAAGCCACCTAGCAGTCTTCAGATTGGAGGGGTCTACCTTGGGCCAGCATAATAAAACAAGAGCTACTGAATGTACATCACTGGGCAATTTCAAGACAAAGCAGACAAAGAGAAAATCTAAAACACTACCAGAGAAGGAGGAAAATGCAGGCAACATACCAACAAATGGGAAGCAGAATAATATTAGGTTCATGAACAGCAATGTCTTTGGAATGCAGAGAAGGTTACTTTAGACCTAGACATCTTTACTCAGTCAAACTATTAGTCAAGCATGAGGGGAGAATAGAAACATTTGCAGAACAGCAAATTTATTTCTCATCTACCCTTTCTTAGAAAGCTACTGGGGGATGTGCTTCACCGCAACAAAGAAGCAAAACAAGAAAGAGGATTGGATGGAATCCAGTAAAAAAGAGGTCTCTTCAGTGGAGAAAAGGAAAGGGGTTTGCTAAACAATGATAAAAGGAAACTTCACACGACAGCTGTGAGGTTGCCTAGAGAAAGAAGGAACAATTTGGAGCATCAAGTGTCTGACCATATGCAGAACAAGCTCACAGTTCTGTGAGATTTGACAGGGAGGAGATTAAGCACATGAAGAAAAAAAACAAGAACTATTCAAGGGAAAAATATAACTAAAGTACACACCATGGCCCATCAATGAACATTAGATTATGTAATAGTATTAATGTAAACATGGAATCTTGATTTAACCACAATTATTATGGAACTTCATTGGAAGGACAGGGGAAGTGGAAGCAAAGATTTGTATGAACAAATTTGTATGAAAGAGTTGTATGAACACTAGATCCTTTTTTTTTCCACAAAAAATAGTGAATAAGTTCTTCAAACTAATGTGTTAAAAATGTCTGTTGGGATCATAACCACACTCCCACCAGCTACACCAGCATCCAGGGTCTGGAGCAGGCCTGCCCTCATACTTGCAGGTGGAGATCAGATCCAACTGGAGATCCCTGACCCACAGCCCACCACCCTTGTCATCCCCCCTCCAATAACCACCCTACAGTGGAGGGGCCTGGTGGGACATTTGTGTCCTGTCTACCTAGTTCACCTGCCCACTCTTGTCCACCTCCCTCCTTCCTTGACGACAACCTTAGCCACCCCTCAAGGGTAGAAGTACACACTCCAACAGCCGGGGGAGCTGGCAACAAGCCGACAGAGGCCCTGGAAAAGGGAAAGGGGTTCAGAAAGATGGCATGCTCCAAGTAGGCATGTCGCTTTGGCTCCACAGACCCCTCACTCTGTAGGGAGGGCAGCCAGAGGGAGCCACTCAAAAGGCCAACACCAGGCAGCGCCCTGCCTCCCTACTCTAAGGTGCCATTCATATGCAGCAGCCCGAAGCCCAGCCAAAGCTTCATTACATCAGTGGTTCTCAGCCAGGCTGTGTAACCTGCTAGGGGTCAATGTCTGCAGATACTTTGGGTTGTCACACCAGGGGGAGAAGAATGCTACTGGCATCTAGCAGGTGGAGGCCAGCAATGCTATTAAACATCCTTAAATGCACAGGACAGTGCCTCCTTCTCTCCCCAACCTCCCACCCCCACCCCCACCCCCACTGCCAGCAAAGAATTCTCCAGCCCCAGATGGCCATAGCACCAAGGGTGAGGAACATGAGATACATGTGTGAGTTTGGAAGCCAGCAGATCTGGGGTTCAGACCCTGACTTGTTCTGGGACCCCTTGTTTTGTCTCTGTGCCTCGGTTTTCTCATTTGTGAAATGGGGTTAATGACAACTATTTCACAGGGTTGTCTGAGAAACAAAAAGAATCGAAATGCAAAATGCGCAGCACAGAGTAGGTCCTCAATAAGTGTTACAGGTATAGCTTAGTTGGAAGAAAGAAGTGAATATTTTCAAATGGATAAATCATGAAATAGGGGTCTATGCATATTTCTGTTACATAACAGAGGAACTAGCTAAAGGAGTGGAGAGTATTGCCCCCAGGTGGAGGAGTCGGGGGCTGGAGGAGGGGAGGGCACAGGACAGCCTGTGTTGTTAAACCGTTGTAGAAAATTTGACTTTATAAATTACATCCATGTATAACTGAAGTCTTAAGAGATGAAGTCAAGGACCTTGAACATTAACATTCTTCCTCCCTTGAAGATGCTAATTGCTGTTATAAAGCAGCATGAAATTGCTCTGTCGGTGTCCCACAGGCATGATTGGACACTGCTGAGCCCTGCTAAGTCCTGCATGCTCCAGGCACCATGGGTCTGCCCCCCTTTTCTTGCCCTTCCAGAGCCCTAATTCTGAGCGTATGTGACTCACCTCTGGCTGCTGAAACAAAATACCATGGACTGGGTGTCTTAAATATTGGAAAATAATTGTCTCGCAGTTCTGGACGCTAGAAGTCCAAGATCAAGGTGTTACCAGTTTCTGGTGAGGCCTCTTTACTTAGGTTGCAGATAGCTGCCCTTCTCACTGTGTCCTCACATGGCAGAGAGACAGAGATAGAGACAGAGGGCTCTTGTGTCTCTTCTTCTAAGGGCACTGATCCCATCAGGACGGCCCTGACTTCAAGACTTTATCTAAACTAATTACCTCCCAAAGGTGCCATCTCCAAATACCATCACACTGGGGACTGGACTTCAACATATGAATTTTAGGGGAGACAACTCAGTCCATGGCCAAGGGCAGCAGCTGGCTCCGTGTACCCCTCTCCCCTAGTTGGAACTGCTTTAAAGTGGTTCCTGTAACACTTGGAAGCTGCAGTGTGGAAAGCCCTTTCCTGCCTCGTACTCTGATTCCCTTCCTGTCCCTTGAAGTCAGTATTAGTCTCATGGCATGTGGGGCACCCTGCTGACAGTCACCAGGTGAGGGGAGGGTATGGTGGGGCAAGGACTGGGGCCGAGGTCCCCGAGGGCTGCCTCTCCTCACCCCGGACGGCCTCTCCAACCCCCAGCTGTCTGGTCCCCCTGTGCCCCAAGCTCCCGAACAGTTCCCAGTGGCACAGTGCATCCGAGCCCACGCAAATCCCTCTCACCCTGCCCAGAGCCGCCAATTCTCTCCCCTGGGTGACCTCACAGCCCCTGACGATCTCCCCACTTCCGGTCTTCCTCCCCTCAGGCCACCCCCTCCCCAAAGCCAGAGGGGTGCAGTTTGGATCACAGTCTCTCCTTCACTCAAGTGACTCTGTTGCTCTTAGAACAAAGCTCAGACTGCTGATTGTGGCCACGAGTCTCGATCTGGCCCCCGCCGGTTTCCCCAACCCATCTCACCCCGCTTGACAGCCCCTGACATCCGTAGGCAGGGTAGTTAGACCCTGCTTGGGCGTGTCTGCGCCCCTCGCAGCTGAGAGGCCGGCCTCGGCATGAGGACACTTCCACAGGACCCCGCGCAGCAATGAGGCGGCGGGCGGGAGCCTCCGCCCCAGAATCGAGACGGTAGCCTTACCCTCTGTTATTCCGGCCTGTCTGCGCGGGAGCCCGGGATGCTGCTCTCCCGACCGCAGAAGCAAGAGTCAAATGTTGAACTAAGTCATCGCCGCGCCCCTGACAAGCTCCGCACAGGAAAGGAAACTGTAACCACATGAAATATTTACACGTTGCGGAGACTCTACTGACACGACAGCACGGTGCTTTTGTGGTCAGTTTGCTTTTCTTTTTTCTTTTCCCAACGTGGATTACAAAATGCCCTCTAGTGAGGAAACCGCTCCCAGAGAAATCGCACCTCCCCCCCAGCTCCAGGGCTGTTACCTGGGAGGGGAGCCACGTGGTGGGAGGACTAGAGGCCCCGCGAGCTGCCACACAGGTGAGGGCACCTCTGTCCAGGTCACGGGCCTGGCTGGCGTCGGAGGCCCAGCTGCGGCAGCCTCCCCGAAGTTCTTCCAGCCCAACCATTGTTAATTTCCAGATATAGTTAAAATAGTCACATAATTAGTATTATTTTTTTTTAAGTGCCCTCATCTAACATCTGTTGGGGAACTGGGTTAGAGTCCTTTGGTCTGGGATGCTGCCTACACTCAAGTTTGGGAGCCCCTCACCCTGGGCTCTCACCACCCTGAACCTACTTCTTTCCTCCTCCAGGCTGGGAGCTTCCAGAGGACAGAAGCCCACCTGCAAGGGAGTGGCGGGGAGGGGCTCACCACGGTCACCTGCGGCGGGCTGGCATCCTCACAGCCAGCACTCTAGGCCCCAAACCCCTTTTAACCATCCCAGGGGCCCTCCATGTTTGTACCATTAGTATCCTACTTGTATTGACAGCAAAACTGACTCCAGGGAGGCCCAGTCATCCACACAGACCCTCGGGGGTGGGTAATGACAGGGGAGACTTTACCCGAATTCGACTGACATCAGGGGCTCTGTCCTGGCAAAGCCACCACCAACTGCCACTTCAGATGGCCTGGCCCTGGTTTACTAAATGCACCAAGAGACAGACTTATGTTCAACTTTTCAGCAATTTTATTATAAAGAAATCTGAGAGAGCACTGGGCACCGAGACAGACATTTGCCAGCGCCAGGAAACAGCTGCAAAACACCGTGGACCAAACCCGAACGCAAACCCACGCCCACTGTGTCGTCAGCTGCATGTCTGTTCTCAATTTTTTTCATAAATAGACAAAAATCATTGTTGGCAATTTTAAATAGATGGACATAGGGCTTTAAAAAAAAAAAAGCAGTGCCTCCAAATGTGGCTGTAAATTGTCCAGATCTTGCCATACAGATGATGAAATTGTTTGGTAGCCACTTGTGTGCACCTCTCCCTTAAGATAAAACTTAAAAAAAATGTGCTAAGGGTCATATAAAATGCTTTTTACCTGAAAGGAAACTACTTCCCCCCACCCCCCAAAGATAATCTTACAGACGTCTTCAGCACAGCTCTAAAACACTTAGTCAACTACTTACATAGAGCCAACAGTTTCTAGGTTTCATAAGCTTTTGTTCACACTGTAAAACCGCATTTGCACGTCTGTGGCTGGGCTGGCCCCGGCCCCATGCATCTGGGGGTGGGTTCCTGTTGGTAAGCAACCCCTCCAGGGGCCCCCCACATGAGCTGGGGCTGGGGCCAGACATCCAGACACGGGGTACGGTACACAGGCCGAGGAGCTGGGTCCACGGTAACCCTGGAGCAAGCAGATCAGGGGGCAGAAGATTCCTGCAGGTTCTTTGGGCTGGCGGCGGGCAGTGGGCCGCCTCTGCAGAGTCTGGTGGGAGGTCGAGGAAGAGACTCGACCCAGGGCACTGGTGTGTCACTGCTCTTTCTTCTCAGTCACCCTGCTTCCCGCCAAGGCCTCTTTTCTGCTGTGGGCCCTTCAGGCTCTGAGCAGTGCCCTCCCAGCAAGCCTCAGGGAGGAGAGGGGAGGCAGGATTAGGTGAGGTAGCGCGACTTGTCCCTGGGGAGCAGGCTGTGGGAGAGAGGGGGGGCTGTCAGCGCCGATCGGACCCCGCCCAGTGCCTGGACGCAGGGTCCGTGCGCACCAGGACACCTGCTCACTAGCCCTGCCCCCAACCCTGGATTCTCTGCCCCTGTGAGGATAAAGGAAAGGCATGTGCTGGACACTCCCTGATTGTCCACCAGGAAGAGCCAAACACCCCTCCTGGAACCCTGGCAGGGGACTGCCAGCTCTCCGGTGCCGGGGCAAGGTGGCAGCTGTGTGTCTGCCCTTCATCAAAGCTGGTTCCGACACTGCTATCCTCTCAGGTCAGTTTTTAGTCACAGCGTTTCATTTGTAAATTTCAAACAGAATTAAAGGAAGGCAGGTGCTTTCCGTGCTTTTAAAATAGGGCACTCATTCACAGCAGACACAGCTTCAGGGCATTTTGCTAAGTGAAATAAGTTAGACAGAGAAAGAAATGTACACGTGATTTCACTTGTATGTGGAATCTAAAAAAAAAATACAACCCAAACTCCAAATTCATAGATGCAGAGAACAGACTGGTGGTTGCCAGAGGTGGGAGTAGAGGGGGAGTGAAATGGGTAAAGGGGGCCAAAAGGTACCGACTTCCAGTTATAAAATAAACAAGCCCTGGGATATAATGTACAGCACGGTGACTATAGTTAATAACACTGTATTGTACATTTGAAAATTGCTGAGAATAGATCTTAGAAGTTCTCACCACAAGAAAAATAATTTGTAACTATGTGGTGATGGATGTTAAGTAGATTTACAATTATATCTCAACTTAAGAAATAACTATAATAGGGCAGTGCAGCAGTCTGATCTCCATGTCCTGGGGGAAGTCTGGCATTCCCTGATGTCCACTAACGGGCACCCACTAGGCCCTGTACTCTCTGACTTTTGGCAAGGGTAACTGTGGTGAGGAGGTTGGTCTGCCCCTGTCGGGGGTGTTGGAAGGGAACCCACCCAGCTACATGCTCGCCAGCTACTGGTGCATCAGAAGTGGGAGCATGTGCCATGTCTGCTCCCTCACTGGGGGTCTTGGCAGGGTCGGGAGCTGGAGAGCTGACAGCCAGGGCTAGGGGCAGCTGGAGCCAGCGCCAGAGCAGGCCCTGTCCACCAAGTGGGAGTGTCCCGCCTTCCACAGTGTGGCGCTGTCACTGGGATACCACATTGCCTGGTGTGCCTTTAGGATTAGCTCTTGCCAGGGGCATGGGAGTCACGGCTGGCAGGTTCAGGAGTTAGGGTGCCCTCTCCACTCTACTCTCCTTTCTGCTGGCTGAGAGGCTGGTCACTCTCTCAGAGGAGGTGTCTTGCCAATCCAGGAAGACCTTCTAGAGGAGGGGCAGTGAGCATGGATTTGAAAAGCTGAGAGTAAAGGACAGGGGAGAGGCCCAGGGGGTAAGGTCGCATGAGGACGGGGGAGGAGCCCAGCGACACTGCAGTCTGCGCATCCAGAGGGATGCCAGGCTCAGCAGATGGAGGGGAACCACTGAGGTTGGGCACTGCCTGCACTAGATGGTTGGCCCCTTCTCCTAGGGCGTGGCAAACTGCCGGGCCTCACCCAGATCCCCTTTCTTGTGCTCCCAGCTTCCCTCGGCTCCTGCCCTGCCCAGGGCCTGCACTCCCCAGAGACAGCCAACAACCAATGGCTGTCTGACACGGGTTCAAGAAGCCCTAACCTCAAGCTGGGACCAAGCCTGGTGCCATCCATGCCCCAGAGCCCTCAGGGACCAGGTGGAGTCTGGCTCCTTCCTGCTGCACACAGCCTCCCCCGCCACCTTGCGCCTGCAAGCTCTCCCTCAGCACACAGCCTGAGCGCCTCGGCCTCCGCTTCCAGGGAATCTGGCCGGAGACAGCACCCTATCACGCATGAAGAAACAGGATGCAAGGAGAAAAGGCAAGACTGAAGCTGGGCCTCAGTTTCCCAAGACGGTCTTGGCATCAGACTGGCTGAGTCCTTCTGGGCCTTGCTTTGCTCTGTGTTCTCTCCTGGGGTCCGTAGGCACCCAGCGCCCACGAGGCTCCCCTGCAGGGCCTCGCCCGGTCCCACAGCCGCTCATGCTTTCCTATCCCTGGTCCTCCTGGTCCCGCCGTCCCGCCTGGGCAGGCCCAGGGCAGCGCCCACCAAGGCCTGGCTGAGGACCCACCTGCAGGCGCTGATGCCGCACTCCCCTCCAGGGAAGCTGGAGTCCCAGTCTCCGCTGCCCCCAGGGTTGGGTGGGCCAGGCGAGCGGGATCCGGAGCCGCTGGGGAACTCGGAGATGTGAGGGAAGTCCTGCCAGGGGGAAGGAACAGGCAGGTCAACAAAGGAGCGTATCGCAGGGCACATCTCAGGCAGCCTGCGGGGACGGGGCTGGAGGTGCCTCAGAACACCTCTGGCTCGTACAAAATCTCCACCTGCCCCTCCGCCTGGAGTGAGGCTTCCTTTTCCCCAGGAGAGCCCCTTTTGAAAGCTACAATCCTAATCGTCTGCATCAGAGGGGTGAAGGACTTGGCTTTGAGGGCCTTTCCCTTGCTGGACCTGTTTCCCAATCCAAAATGGAGTTACTGGGCTGAATGACCTCTAAGAGCTGTGCAGGTATTGGAACAGTGTCGGTGGAACAAGTAGCTGGTCAGGTCTCAAAGGCTTTGGGGAGAGCCAAGGGCCAGGGCTAATCTGGCAGAAGCCACGTGGCCTCAGCCTCCAGGACAGGGAGCAGAAATAGACAGAGGATGAATGAAGGAGGGCCTCGGATAGCCTAAGAACCTTTAGAATCTGTCTGGCAACTTGGCAGCGGTTCATTCCAGCCAGTATATCCCTCCCAAGTAAGGTGCACTAGACCCATTTCAAGGATGTGGTAACTGAGGCTCAGGAGGTAAGGTCTAGCCTGAGGTTACACAGCTGATGAGAGGCAGGGCCAGTATTTGAAATCCCAAACTGCCTCCCTTCTCCACAGGAGTCCCCGCTGGGCAGTTCCTACCAAGCATTGCTTACCTGTGGCCCTGGAGGTGAGGGGCTCACAGCCAGCTGCACCTGGAGGGCCATGGGAGTGGGCAGGACAGGAGGTTGGGGAGCTGGGGACATGCTAACAGGCGGGCTGAGGAGGGCACTCTGGGCATGGGGGGGCAGTGGCAGCTGCTGGTGCAGCGGGGGGCTGAGTGGGAAGGAGGGTGGCGGCGGCGGGGATGAGCTGAGGCCTGGCAGCAGTGATTTGGAGCCCAGCGTCCGGGCCAGGCTGGCAGGAGAGGCCCCACTGCGGAAGGCCTGCAGGTCCGACGGCGTCAGGAAGGACGCTAGGCCCGGCATGGCGTACAGGGGCTGCTTGGGTGGGAGCATTTTGGCTGGTGGGTTCGCCTGAGCGCTCTTGGTCTCAGCCTGGTCTGGGGAGCTCTGGAAGGACACAGACATGGTCACTCTGGGGAAGACAGACAAGCCAGAACTGGGGTTGTGAGACCAAGTAGTTCTGTAGCCCACTGATGGTCCCTGGCCAGCTCTCCGGCCCCTTAAAGAACAGCTAACCAGAGGTAATTCAGGGTCCTCAGTGCCCTTGGCTCTGGCCATCCCACCTCCTGCTTTAATCCCTGGAGGCTCCCCTGCCCTTAGGGAGACCCATGCTCTTCAGCCTGGCCAGTGCGGCCAGAACCCCCCTCCAGCTGGGCCATCCTCTGTCTATGCCCCTCCCCAGCTTATAGCCTTTGCACATGCTGTTCCCTTGACATGGAACATCCTCTCTGCTTGGGCCTTTATGGCCTAACCCAGGTGCCGTGTCCTCTGTAACAGCTTCCAGACAACACCCCTACCTCGCCTTGGGCCACACATCCACCGCCAGGCTGAGCCAGATACAGAGTGGTCAGAGGTAAAGGCCAAATTTGATGAGTGGAAAAACTGGGTCTGAATCCCAGGACAGCCACATAACAAGGTGGATAATTTCAGGCAAGTTTCTTAATCCCTCTGAACCCTGGGCTCTTACTAGAAGTGTCAGGTGCCCAGCATGAGCCAGGCACACAGTAGGTGCACTGGAAATGTGACCACATTGCTCTTTTCTGTCCTCTGCAAGACCTATGGTGTTGAACGCGGGCACTACCTATCAGTATTGTGCCTGGGCATTCCAGGGGTTACCTTGGAGACGAGGCTAGCCCGGTAGGCCGCCAGAGCCTTCAGATACTCCTTTTTTGCTGCTTCGGTCTTCCTCTTGTAGGCCTGAGAGATCCAGGACGTGGGCAACATAGGGGAGAGGTTACTTGATCAGCCTGAGGTCACACCGCTGGTAACCGGCATTTGCCTGTGAGCTAGTTCTGTTCCCTCATCTCCCTGGAGGCCCTAGGAAGGGCCATAGCACATGGTCAGTGGGACAGGAAGCCCTGGCTTGGACTTCAGATGTTCAGACTTGGAGGGACAAGATGGATGGAGAAGCTTATTCTCACTTACAGGCAAGGAAGTCAAAATCCAGAATGGTTAAGTAACAAGTGAACGCAGCTGGAAAATAGCAGAATCAGAAGGGGTCTAGCTTCCCAGCTTACAGATGGGCAAACCGAGTCCAGGAAGACCTCCTCAAGAGTGTCTAGCTCCTGGGTTCTGGACCTTCCTAATCTGTCACTGGCTCCAGGGCTTCAGCACTTCGGGGGACGGCCCATAAAGGGAGGGAGACTCACCTGCTTCTGCTCCTCTCCTAAGCTGTCCCACATGGAGGCCACGATTTTAGACACATCCCCAAAGGTGGCGCTGGGGTTCTGTCCCTTGATGGCGGCCTGAGTGTCTCTGAAGAAGAGCGCATAGGCTGACACGGGCTTCTGAGGCTCGTTGGGGTCCTTCTTCTTCTTTTTCTTTGGGTTCTTGGCCTTTTTTCCTGGGTCGGCTGAGGGTCTCTTCTCTGCCGACATCTGCCCCGGGGAGAGGCATCAGAAATCCAGAGCAGCCCAGGGCCTCCTGCCAAAGGTGACCCCCTCCAGCCCGAGGCAGAGCTCGACTTCCCTGGGCAGCCCTGCCACGTGTCTGTCCAGCCCTGCTCACTCCCGGCCAATGACAGGCGGGCCACCACCGAGGGCTCAGACAAGGGCAGCTCGGGCCACACTCTCACCAATCTCTCCTGCTCACCGCTCCCTAGGCTGGGGAGGCAATGGACATGTGCCGGCACATGTCCTGGGGAGGAGCTAAGAACCTTGGGTTTCTGTTTAACTCATTAATGAGAATCAGCAAGATGGCAAAGTTGCTTCAAAGAAATACAAGAGAAAGAGAACGTGGTTCATGCCTTATAGAGCAATAAAATTATCACCGTTGGGGTTTTTAATCTTTTCTACTGGGCAGAAGTCACTTGCATCTCTACAGAGACAAATTAATTTGCCCTGTAATCAGACAAAAATCGTTTACACATTTTTCCCAGGTTAACATCTACTCTTAACAGCTGTAAAATCCCCTAATCAATAACGAATGACCATCCAAAACAAAGGAGCTTTCTCCCAGAGAATCAGATAACTCTTGAGTGAGCCTGTTAGACAATGCTGTGGTATGCCACTGAAAGAATGGGCATTGTTTTCTCGATCTATTTCCAAGTTTTGGATATATATTTTTTTCTTAGTGGTTCTCCTCTCTTGTGATCACAGATAATCCCCAGACTATCCTTGATTACAAAGGGTCAGTCTCTCCACCAACTGTCAGCCATGCAACTTGAGGCAGGTGGCGGTCCCTCAGGCCCCCCTGTGAAGTGGTTGGAGGGGAGGCTAGTTCGACTGTCACTGAGTGTGGCCTCATTCTGGACACCTGTCCTCTGGAGCAGTCAAACTCCAGGACTACAATCCTGCAAGCGCCTGGCGTAGGGCTTGCAGGATGGGGAGGGGTGGGGACCCTCACCACAGCGTCACTGGGTCACTGATAGGACCCTCAGGCCACACAAGAGACCAGGAACTTTGGTCAAAGGCCCTGCATCCTGCAGTGAGGACTGTCACTCTTTGTGCCAAGAAGATGAAGGCAACATGATGAATTGACAAGGAAACCAGTGGGCCAGAGTCCGAGGGACAGTGAGGGGCAGTCTGTAGCGGCCTTGGTCCTGTGCCTCAGTCTTTGTCTGCAGCCACCCACCCCCCTCTCCCAGACCAGCACTGTCAGCACCATGGCATCAGCAAGATCCTTAGGGTCTTGCAGCCACTTCAGCCATAAGGAGAAAATACTCTGACAAGTGGGCTCTAGCAGGCTAAGCGATGCAGCTGCACCTGATAACCGAAGAGCTGAGCAGACGTGGCAGTGAATATGGGCAAAAGGACACAGGCTGGGGCCAGAGAGCAACCACCTTGGTTTGAATACTGGTTCAGGGACACTGGTTAAATTACTTAACCTCTTTGAGCCTCAGTTTCCCCATCTGCCACTCAAGGTAATAATGGCACCTGCCACATCGGGCTGTGATGAGGATTACATGAACTCATACTTGTTACATGCCTACAACAGTGTCTAGCCTCTGGGAAGTGTTTTAGAAGTGTTTGCTAAATAAAAAATAAGATAAAAACCACCCCTGACTGGCCTACGGTAGAGACTGAGTTATCTGAGGATGAAGCTGGACCAGGATCTGGTGGTCAGGGTCTCTGCTAGATGGTGCAGGCACCACAGCTACTGCCCCAGGCCTCTGCAGGGCCACCATGTGGACAGGGGTGAGAGGCCTTCTGGAGCAGAAAGGGAGGAAGGAGTTGTGGGATCAATTCTTGCTTCTGCCACAGGTTCATGGGGAGATGCCCACTAAGGGCACCTATCCCTTTCTGGGGCCGTTTTCTGCTGCAAACAAGATGCTTTCCATGAGCGAGGAAGGTTTGGAGTTGATGCAAAGGAGAGACTGGGTCCTGGAGCAGGTGGTGGCCTCCCATCCCTGGCGTGTTCTTAAGAGGCAGGACCACCCCTGGCTCCTGGGATGCTCCATGTCTCCACTGGGGGATCATTTTTAGTGTCCCATCTCGAGGTCAGTGCCACCCAGAGGTGCCCTCTGCTGGACCACATATTTTTGTCAGGATATTTTCTCCAAAATGGCCAAAGTGGCCACATGACCCTGGGGATCTTGCAATGCCATCAATGCTGCTGAAACGACCCACTGCCCATTCAGGAATCAGACTTCACCAGGTTTCCACAGAATTTTCTCACCCCCCCTTGCCATTTGTGGGTGCTGTCTGTGCACAGGAGTGCAGCGGCGAGAGCCTGTCAAGGATGCTCAGCAAATTTAGCAGCTGAAGCCAGATTTCCCAGATTCCAATAGACACTATCTCCTGACCAGGGGTTCCGACCAGGCATTCTACCTGCTGATTTTTTTCCTATTTTCCCTGCAAAGGATACACTTATACTCTTCTAGTCTTTTCTAGAGGTAGGCAATGCTCATTCCCCTGCTGACAGGACGGTATCTTAGGCATCTAAGCCATCCCCCACCCCACATACCTTGAAATGCGCTTCTGACTCCTCCTCCTGAGTGGAGCTGGAGGGGGAGGGGGTGGCTGACTTGCTCCCTGGGGGTGACGGGGAGCTGTGGGCAATGCCACTCCGGATGCCCATCTGAGAAATGAGCTGGGACTGGCTGAGGGCACTCATGTGGCTGGCCAGCATCGCTGGGCGGCCCAGCAGGGGCCCTGGCCGGCCCGAGTCGTAGGCAGCAACCTCTGAGTGGACCATCTCCTGGATCTAAGAGAGGAAGACGGAATCGTGAGTAAGCGCCATCGCATCTGCCTTATGGGACCCAGGGGAGGGGCATGCCAATGAGAAGTGGGGGTGGGGGCTGGCTCCCCTCTGAGCTGTGGCTGCCCTCCCCTATGAGTCTGTCCCGGGGAGGTGAGCGTCCATTCTACTCTGAGCCCTGTGTAGCCCTGTAGGAGGGCCTACAGCTCCTTGACAGTGTGCCATTCTGTTGGCATGCACTCCGGACAGACGGTCAGCATTTCAGCCCTTGCCAGAGAGTTCAGGCCAGCTGTGAAAAGACCATTTTATGATTCTTAATCTTCCCTCCTGGAACATGGTATGTCTTTGCATTTATTCACTATGCAGCATTCTAGCAAAGGGCACAGACACTGTGTTTTGAATCCTGGTCAACGCACTTATAAGCTGGGCGACTTTGGCCAAGTTACTTAAAATCTCTGTGCCTCAGTTTCTTCATCTGAAGAGTGTGAATAATAATTAAATCTACTCTCTAGGGTTGTTAAGGAGTAAATGTGCCTGGCACATAGTAAGCCCTATATTATGTAAGAGTTTGTTAAATACATAGAATAAATAAACCCCTTAATAAAATTTTGCACTTTTCTTCTTATAGGTCAGTTATTTTCTTATTAATTATTTATTCCCTATGATATTTTCAAGGTGGTTATTTGTAGAATATAAGAAAGTTACTGAGTTTTACATACAGGCATTTCTTTTGCTAAACACATACTTAGATAGGGTGTACTTTTTCACCTAAACATTTTGTATATATATATATTTTTTTATAAACTCTACATATATGAATATATATGTAAACACACACATATACCACTGTTCAGCAAGGCACACTAACTTGCATATTCTTATAATAATTAGTTTTATTTCCTTTGCATCTTTGGTTATTTTCCCTTTTTATTTCTAATGTTGAACATCTGTATTTTCCTCTCACTTTTTCTTTATTTGGCAAGCTCATGGATTTTCTATTTTATTATGTGGGATTTTTATTCCCCCTCAAAATAATCAAATTTCAAATTTGTTTATCACTTCTATTACTGTTTTCTAATTCTTTAATATCTAATTTTAGCTTTCTTAATCACTTCCTCTGATTTTAAAGATTATTTTTGTTTCCCCTCAATTTTGCAGAATTTTTAATTCATTATTTTCTTTCTCAATTTTTAGAGGCATGCTTAATGTTATGAAATATCCTCTGAGCATGACTTTAACATTTCTCATAGACTGCATCACACAAGAGTATCATTATTGTTCTTTTTTATGTATTTATTTTTTATTTCAGTTTTAAGTTTTTCTTTTATCCAAGAGTTAAGAAAAGTTTTGAAATTTCTAAGAGGTTAATTGTGTTTTCCTTTGCTACTAATTTCTAGTAACAAAGATGATCAAAGAATATGGTCTGTACTACTCATACTTTTGAGAATTTATTAGGGTTTCCTTTGGGACCCAAATATGTTTAGATTTTGTATATATTCCACAGTACACAAAGGCAGAGGGTAAACTGTTTGCACATTAATATAGCAATATAACATTTACTTATCCCACCAGGGGTGATCATATTATTTTGATTTGTTTCTTACTTTTTGGATCATCTAAGTGGCTACACTTTTCTGCTTCCATCAAAATCTCCCTTTAATGCTTATAAAGTTTTTGTTTTGGGAATTTGATGTTGGTTTTTATTGCAAAAAGAAAACTGGCAATTCTATCTTCATTATGGATTGCACTTCAGTATTATTGTAAAGTGTCTCATTTTTGCCTTGAAATCAGTGAAATCTGGTATGAAATTGCTATCTTTGCCTGTGTATATATTTGTTCAAACTTGGTGTATCATTCATTTCTGAGAAATTTTCTTTTTTACATTTCCCTTCATTTCCACGTTTTAGGTTTATCTTTGTTGGTGTTTGTGCTATGGTCAGTTTCAGAAAAAGAACCAAAATTTCCCCTTGTTCCTTGTGCCCTGGAACAGTAGACAAAACATACAAATCATATTTTCCATAGAGAAATGAAAGAATTAGATGTACAATTACCTGAGGCCTAGTGCTTTTTGAAAGGCTGATCTTCCAAAACATTTTCCATGGCTAATTGGTCTATTTTAGTTTCCATATTCTCTTATTTTTGGTCTATTTTATCCAAATTTGAATTCTAACAGCATATCATCGGGATAATGTAATATGTATGACCTACTCCATGGTTTTTATAGTTAAATTCCCATTCACAATTGTAATATTGTGACTGCATGTTGCTTTTTACATTTTTCATTCCCCCCCGATTTATACATTTTAACTGTCTATCCAAGGAACCAGTTTTTATATTTTAAAATAATCATTCTGACAAGTTTCCTGATCATTCATTAAATTTTGCTTTCCTCTCTACTAATGTTGACCTCAGATATCATATGCTGCTTTTTATCTAGCTTTTCAAATTAAATCATGTATTTATTTTCACATTTTCTTTTCTAATAAGTATCTGGTGCAGGGGTACAAACTGGAGCAATCTGCCATGTAGGAGGCATCTGGCCACGTCTGCAGACATCTTTGGCTCCCCCAACCGGGGTGTTTGGGGGGAAGGTTACTGGCATGTAGTAGGCAGAGACCTGGGGCACTGCTGAACAGTCCACAGTACATAGAGGATGCCTGCACCCCACCGACACACACATGCATGGCGAGCAAGTATGTACCCCAAAGGTCGAGGGCTGAAGCTGGGAAACCCTGGCTCGATAACTATGATTTTATCCTGAGGATTTTAGCTGCCTCATATAAATGTATTTTAAAGAGTTCTAGAACTGAAGATTTGATTTTCTTTTTTACCTTGAAGTTATTTGGATGTGTCCCTTTATTTAATGTGTCCCTTTGTTATTGTGATCAGAAAGCATGTCTCCAAGAATTGTATCTTTTTGGTACTGAGGTTGTCAATGTGGCTTAGGGTATGATCAAGTTTGGTAAAATTTTCATGTACGTCTGAAATAATGTTTTCTGTGTAATGTACACATTTCTCTCTGTGTGTCTATTCAATAAACTGTTTTGACTTTAGCTGTAAAATCTCAAGAAAAATGAGTTAAAGCCTCCCACTACTTTGTCCCCATAGTTTCTCTAGAGAATTTACACAGGTTTTCTTCATATATATTGATGTGAAATGATTCGTTCCCTTAAGTGTCCCAGAATGCTGTATTTTCATTACAGTTTCTCCTTGTTAGTGAAAAAGAAAGCACCTTTGCCTCAGTCAATATTTTTATGTTAAATCCTACATATGTGATCATTATCACTGTTTTTCCACTGTTTTATTTTTGTCCTGCATCACTTAAGTGTGCATCTTATACATACATATATATAGGCAGATTTTGGTTCTGAGTTCCTACTATAATATATTGTGAAATATATCTATTATTATATTAATCATAAAGAAACCTGAGAAACAGACTTAAAGTGCCTTGTTTCAAAGAGTAAAAGGTTTTTTGTTTTTTTTTAACAGTCCAATTAAAAAATGGGCAAAAGACTTAAATAGACATTTGAAGACGTACAGCTGGCCAACCAATACATGAAAAGGTGCTCAACCTCACTAATCACCAGGGAAATGTAACCCGAAACCACAATGATTTATCACCTCCTACCTGTTAGGATGATTACAATAAAAAAAAGAAATCAGGAGATAAAAATGGGCAAGGATGTGGAGATAAGAGAACCCTGTTGGTAGGAATGTAAAATGGTACAGCCACTATGGAAAAAGTAGTATGAGGTTCCCCAAATATTAAAGGTAGAATTCCCACAGGATCCAGCACTCCCACCTCTGGGTATATAACCAAAGGAGCTGAAATCACTACGTGAAGAGATATCTGCACCCCCGTTTTCATTACAGCATTATTTACCATAGCCAAGACATGGAAACAACCTAAATGTCCCTGAACAGATGAATGAATAATGTACCGTGTACACACACACACACACACACACTGTTATTCATCCATAAAAAAAGGAAATCCTGCCTTTTGTGACAATATGTATGGACCTTGATGGCATTATGCTAATTAAATTCAGTCAGAGAGAGAAAGACAAATACCGTATGTTTTTACTCTAGGTGGGATCTAAAAAAGCCAAGCTCAGAGAGTAGAATGGTGGTTGCCAGGGCCAGGGAAGTGGGGGGAATGGGTGAAGGTGGTCAAAGGGTACACACTTCCAACTCCATAATGAGTAAGTTCTGGGGGTCTGATGTACAGCACGGTGACTGTAACAACACTGTATCATATACTTGAAAGTTGTTAAGAGAGTAGATCTTAGGAGTTATCACTACACACACAAAGGTAATTACGCAAGGGGAGGGAGGTGTTAACTAACCTTATTGAGGTAATCATTTCACCATATATACATGTATCAAATTATCACATTGTATACCTTAAACTTACATATGTGAAATGTCAGTAATATCTCAACTGGAAAAAAAATTTAAACTTTAAAAAGAAAAGAAGAGTAGAAAGTTTTACGACCTACTCTCTAAACATACCTCTTTCTAGTCTAACATGTACACATTCTTCCTTCCATGATTCTTAAACTAGAATCATGAATTACAACTTGAAATGACTAATAGGAATGGAGCATGATTTCCTACTGGGCAAACTGGTCGTGGGGTTTGATGTTTGTAAACAGGTTTGTTTTTTATTTTTTCTTCCCAGCTGTCCGCTTTAGAATTCTTCAACCCGATAGTCAAGTCAGTAGTTAAATATATTGCCAGCACTTAGTAATGGCAGGCTTTTAAATTTTTGCAAATCTGCCAATGTGAAATGCTCTCAAAGTTGTTCTAATTGGCATTGTCCTGATCACTAGAGAGGTTGAAAACCTTTTCATAAGCTTACTGTCCTTCTGGGGTTCTGTCTACAGTGCTGTTGGGAGTGTAAACTAGTAAGATAAACACCATGGGGAGCAATCTTGTAATACCCATTATGTTGAAGATGTGCGTATCCTAGAGCCTAGCAACTCTACTCCAAGATATTT